ATTGATGATTTTTGATAAGTTTGTACATGTCCTCCTTCCCTTTAGCAGATCTTATTTTGTGTACTGTAATAGGATTTTATAATGTTCTTTCATATAAGTCCTATAAAAGTCCTTCACGTAATTTTTTCTTGTAAAGTTTACTCCTAGGTCAGGAAGGAAAATAGATTTCCTGCCCATTATGAGTGGCATATTTTCCCTATTTCTATTTAAAATGATTATTACTAATATAGATAAAAGCCTTTGATATGTTTATATCTTTAAAAATTATATACCACCTTACTGAATTTACTTATTAAGTCCAATAGTTTTCTTTACTAGAGTTCTTGGATTTTCTGGACACAGTTGAATATTATATTGTTTTCTAGGAAACAATGTATTTCTTTTAGGTTTTCAACTTATTGCCACTGAGTTACAAAGTAGTGTTTAGAATTATTTTCATCTTTTCTATATCTATGCATTCTGTATGTTTCTCCTTTCTAATATTTTACTTTCTCTCTTTCCTCCTTAACCAGGCTTACCTGGGGCATCTATTTTATCTTTCCAGAGAACTAATGGTTCTTTTCCCTATACATTTTACCATTTATTTTTTATGTATAAGTAATGAAAATATATGGTATCTTTATTAAATCTACACCCCTAATTTCTCTTTTTCTTTATGTAAATATGCTTTTCTTTGGTCCTTTGTTTTAAATCATAAAAGCATCAAAGGCTACAAATATTCCTCTGTGGCTTGTCCAATACATTTTAATAAGAAGTGTCCTTTTACTATGTTTTATATGTTTATACTTTTACTATTGGTTTCCGTTTCTTCTTTGAGCTGAAGTTATTTAAGAGATTTTTTTTTTACCTTTTACACTTATATGTATATATTATACATATGTACATTTAAAAAAATTAAATATAACAAGAGTCTTCTATTGAAAAGCAGCAGCCCACTTCTGTACCTCCATCTATCCTATTTCCCAGAGGGAACTACTTTTAACCCCTTTAGCTGTTGCTTCTGGTAGTTAATTCCATTTTTAAAAATAATTTGCTTATATTGCTATATCTTGAGTTATTTATTTTAGACATTATCTGTTGACTTCCTATTATATGACAGATGAAGTTTTATCTTTTTCCCAACTCCCCCTTCCATCTTCCCACTATTGTTATATCAATATTTTTAGCTAAATCCATAATCAGCATTTACTTCACTATGACACTAAATAGTGTTTACAAAATGCCAAGTATTATACTCTTGTGACCTTTCCTTTCTTGTAGTGCATGTTATTTTTCCTAGAGTTAATACTTTCTTTGTGTTTCATATGTATAATTTTCAACATTCACTTATTAATTTTTTCCCCAAATACTGCATCAGAGGATCTTCTAATCTATAAAAATCTCCCATTCTTTCTCATCCAAAGTCCTTAATTCTCTTGTGTCGGTCTGGACTGTTTGCTCTGTCAGCCTGGTCACAGTTATAATCCTGTGACTTTTCTTCTCCAATCTCCTGGTTAGGTTGCACTGTTTCATGAATCTCTTGTCTTCCTCTCTTTTGGTTTACTTTCTTATTTTGCTGGGTTATATCCTCTAATAGATTCCTACGAAATGGTGTCTTGGAGAGAAAAAACTTTTTGAATACTTGCATAAATGACAAGTATTTTTTTACATCTTTATTGGAGTATAATTGCTTTAAAATGGTGTGTTAGTTTCTGCTTTATAACAAAGTGAATCAGTTATACATATACATATGTCCCCATATCTCTTGCATCTCCCTCCCTCCCACCCTCCCTATCCCACCCCTCCAGGTGGTCAAAAAGCACCAAGCTGATCTCCCTGTGCTATACGGCTGCTTCCCACTAGCCATCTACCTTACGTTTGGTAGTGTATATATGTCCATGCCACTCTCTCGCTTTGTCACAGGTTACCCTTCCCCCTCCCCATATCCTCAAGTCCATTCTCTAGTAGGTCTGTGTCTTTATTCCTGTTTTACCCCTAGGTTCTTCGTGACATTTTTTTTTCTTGAATTCCATATATATGTTAGCATACGGTATTTGTCTCTCTCTTTCTGACTTACTTCACTCTGTATGACAGACTCTAGGTCTATCCACCTCATTACAAATAGCTCAATTTTGTTTCTTTTTATGGCTGAGTAATATTTAATTGTATATATGTGCCACATCTTCTTTAACCATTCATCCGATGATGGACACTTAGGTTGTTTCCATCTCCGGGCTATTGTAAATGGAGCTGCAATGAACATTTTGGTACATGACTCTTTTTGAATTATGGTTTTCTCAGGGTATATGCCCAGTAGTGGGATTGCTGGGTCATATGGTAGTTCTATTGGTAGTTTTTTAAGGAACCTCCATACTGTTCTCCATAGTGGCTGTACCAATTCACATTCCCACCAGCAGTGCAAGAGTGTTCCCTTTTCTCCACACCCTCTCCAGCATTTATCGTTTATAGATTTTTGGATGAGGGCCATTCTGACTGGTGTGAGATGATATCTCATTGTAGTTTTGATTTGCATTTCTCTAATGATTAATGATTTGAGCATTCTTTCATGTGTTTGTTGGCAGTCTGTATATCTTCTTTGGAGAAATGTCTATTTAGGTCTTCTGCCCATTTTTGGATTGGGTTGTTTGTTTTTTTGTTATTGAGCTGCATGAGCTGCTTGTAAATTTTGGAGATTAATCCTTTGTCAGTTGCTTCATTTGCAAATATTTTCTCCCATTCTGAGGGTTGTCTTTTGGTCTTGTTTATGGTTTCCTTTGCTGTGCAAAAGCTTTGAAGTTTCATTAGGTCCCATTTGTTTATTTTTGTTTTTATTTCCATTTCTCTGGGAGGTGGGTCAAAAAGGATCTTGCTGTGATTTATGTCATAGAGTGTTCTGCCTATATTTTCCTCTAAGAGTTTGATAGTTTCTGGCCTTACATTTAGGTCTTTAATCCATTTTGAGCTTATTTTTGTGTATGATGTTAGGGAGTGTTCTAATTTCATACTTTTACATGTAGCTGTCCAGTTTTCCCAGCACCACTTATTGAAGAGGCTGTCCTTTCTCCACTGTATATTCCTGCCTCCTTTATGAAAAATAAGGTGACCATATGTGCGTGGCTTTATCTCTGGGCTTTCTATCCTGTTCCCTTGATCTATCTTTCTGTTTTTGTGCCAGTACCATACTGTCTTGATTACTGTAGCTTTGTAGTATAGTCTGAAGTCAGGGAGCCTGATTCCTCCAGCTCCGTTTTTCATTCTCAAGATTGCTTTGGCTATTTGGAGTCTTTTGTGTTTCCATACAAATTGTGAAATTTTTTGTTCTAGTTCTGTGAAAAATGCCAGTGGTAGTTTGATAGGGATTACATTGAATCTGTAGATTGCTTTGGGTAGTAGAGTCATTTTCACAATGTTGATTCTTCCAATCCAAGAACATGGTATATCTCTCCATCTATTTGTATCATCTTTAATTTCTTTCATCAGTGTCTTATAATTTTCTGCATACAGGTCTTTTGTCTCCTTAGGTAGGTTTATTCTTAGATATTTTATTCTTTTTGTCACAGTGGTAAGTGGGAGTGTTTTCTTGATTTCACTTTCTGATTTTTCATCATTAGTGTATAGGAATGCCAGAGATTTCTGTGCATTAATTTTGTATCCTGCTACTTTACCAAATTCATTGATTAGCTCTAGTAGTTTTCTGGTAGCATCTTTAGGATTCTCTGTGTAGAGTATCATGTCATCTACAAACAGTGACACCTTTACTTCTTTTCTGATTTGGATTCCTTTTATTTCCTTTTCTTCTCTGAATGCTGTGGCTAAAACTTCCAAAACTATGCTGAATAAGAGTGGTGAGAGTGGGCAACCTTGTCTTGTTCCTGATCTTAGTGGAAATGCTTTCAGTTTTTCACCATTGAGGACAATGTTGGCTGTTGGTTTGTCATATATGGCCTTTATTATGTTGAGGAAAGTTCCCTCTATGCCTACTTTCTGCAGGGTTTTTATCATAAATGGGTGTTGAATTTTGTCAAAAGCTAATTTTTTTTTTTAAACTTCAGGCTCAATTTATAGTTGAATTTAGACTTTATTTTCACACAGAGATTTGAAGGCATTACTCCATTGTCTTCTAATAACTTTTTTGTCTTAATAAAATTAATTTATGTACATTAGTTTTGTATATATCTCCTTCGTAATACTGTGTATTTTCACTTTCTCTTCCTTCTTTAACCAGTCTTGCCTGGAGTATCTGTTTCCTTTTTTGAAAGAACTAGTGGTTCTTTTCAATATATTTTACTAATTTTTATTTTATATATAATGAAAATATGTGGTATCTTCATTAAATCTACACCTCTTCTCTCTCTCTCTTTTTTTTTCTGGTAGTAACTTTATAAAGTACAGAATAGTAGAAAGAATACAATTAAAACAATCAGTATTTCTACCCCTTTGAGATAACCAGTGTTAACATATAGATATATCTTCCTAGGATTATTTTCCAAGAATATTTTAACATAATTGAGATAGCGTATTTTTTATTCATCCTGCTTCTGTCATTTAACTATATCATTAGTACTTTCTCTTAGTAAATATTTTTGAAAACTTTATTTATAATGAATGTATAATCAATCACATGTAATTTATTTTAACTATTTTTTGACATTTGCATTGTTTTTATTTCTTCATGTTATGAATAATATTGTATAGAATATCTTTGTGCTTGAGTCTTTATCTAAATATTTTATTATTTCCTTATAATACATTCTTAGAAAAGTTGAACTAATCTCTACTATCACCTGGTGTTTATAACATTGTATACTTAACTGTACCCTTGTTAGCCTTAAGCCATCACTTTTATTGTCATATTTTATTTTCTGGATTATTTTAATAATGCATATTTATGGTGAAAACTATTCTACTTATGTAAGAATTAAGTCTACAGTTTGTCAGTGTAGAGTAGATTTGGTATGCTACTGTAGAACACCATCTTAAAGCATAACTTCTTAATTCTAATACTGTTGATTTCTGTAAAGGAAAACTCCCAGACTAAGATTTCCCAGATGGAGCATGGCAAAACATTCAAGCAGCTAGAGAAAGACAACAAGCAAGAAACATTACTGAAAATTCAGCAGAATTTGAAGGTTGTTACAACTCAAAGATTAGAGGAGAAAATTCATGAACTTCAGAAACAGCTCAGTGACTTTAAATTGTCAAATAAAACTATGAAAACTCAACTGACAAGAGTAAATGTCCTTAAAGTAAGTAAAAAAATGAGACTTTCAAAAATTCTCTTAAGCTTTGGTCTGTTTCTATTTTTGCTGCATGTTTCTCCTTGAACTTGAAAAATTAACATTAAAATTATTTTACATACATATAAAAGAATATATATATATAATATTAAAGCATATAGAATAATAAAATTAGATGCTACAAATCTACCACTCATGTTAAGAATCAGAGTATTATCAATCCCACTGAAGCCCCCAGGTATCCTCCTCAAAGGTAACCGGTATTCTAAATGTTAGGTATCTAGATCCCTTGCTTTTTGTTTCAGTCATACTTTTGTCTTTCTTATTGGGTTAATGGTTAAAAGTTTTAGTGATTTTTGGGGGGATGCTCTTTGGATCTTCTCTATATCAAGCTCCAGTTGTAATATTTCAAACATACATTTTATGCCTGAAACCAAATATACACTAGATACTTACTGATCAACTTTTTTTTTGCCAGTTGATTATCAAGAATATTTCTCTTATTGCAGCCAGTTATTTTCTCTATTTCTGTGTTTGATTAGCACAGACTATAAGACTTTTGAGGACATGGAACATGTGTTAAACCTCTTTAAATCCCAAGTGCCTAGTTTATAAAAGTGCTCAGTAACTGTTGGTTATTGATGAGCATGATGGTGGAGAAATGTCTCTTAATTCATAAGTTGTGGTATTTTCTTTCTTTTCCATTATCTAGCTCTTCCAAAAAAAAAGAAAGAAAGAAAAAAGAAAAAGAAGAAAAAAAAAGCATGAGTTATTATGTATCATGCCTGTTATTTAGAGGAGTTTTAATCACAGTTATCTCCCTTTCCCCCAACCTTATACCCTCACAGGACAAAACAATTGAGAAGCTCAGGCAATCTTTAACAAAAGTTGAAGCAATGAAAGGGAAGGCAGTTATGGAAACAGACTTGGAAACTACAGTAGACTCTGCTGAGCAAGATGCAAGGTGGGACAAAGAGAGGGCCCATCAAATGTTAGAAACTGTCACTCCTGAGCTCTGCACAGCAAAGAGCACACTTGAAGAAGTACCGGGACAACAAGAAGAGGTTTTTTTTTTTTAAATTACTATATTAAGATTATTTAAGTTGAAGTGATAAACACCCACCTCAATTTAGACTACCTTAGACAAAAGAGAATTGATAGGCTTGTGGAATCAAAGGCAGTTAAACAACCAGAGCTCTGAGAAGGCAGGGATGCACCTGGGCCACAGATTAGCACCTGGAATCTTCAATATAAGGCCTTTCTCACATTCTTCTTGGCAGCTGTCTGTCAGCTTGTCTGTCTGGCTGACAGCCACAGAATTTTACAGTTAGATTTTCTGTGACAGGAGAGAGAATCCCAAGAAAGGGTCTTACAAGCCCAGCTTAGGTCAAATGCCTATCCTTAGTGAATTCACAGTGGCAAGGAATGGGATATATGATTATCATAGCTTAGGTTTGTGTACACGTCCTCTGACTAACCAAAGACAAGCAGGGTAGGGATGAGAGAAAATGAAAGTTAAGGGCAAACCATTTTTGTGGGGCTGGATCACTTTCTTGGACAAGAGGGTAGTGCTTCTAAACTTGCTTAGGTTCTCACTAGATTTATAAAGCAGATATTTTAAGAGAATTTTCTAAAGCCTAAATGATAATTTGGGGCTATTGTGGGATTACATGTCACACCCCCATACATGTTTCTTAAGAAACATGAAACTCTTTTGGGGGGGTGGTACGCGGGCCTCTCACTGTTGTGGCCTCTCCCGTTGCGGAGCACAGGCTCCGGACACGCAGCCTCAGCGGCCATGGCTCACGGGCCCAGCCGCTCCACGGCATCTGGGATCTTCCCAGACCGGGGCACGAACCCATGTCCCCTGCATCGGCAGGAGGACTCTCAACCACTGCGCCACCAGGGAAGTCCAAGAAACATGAGACTTTAACGAATTTCCATAAGAGATTCTTAAAACCAAAAGTCATGATATTACCATTTTCTTTTTTTTTCTCTTTTTTAACTTCTGCATATTCATTTTCTTAATTGTTTTTATTCTCTCAGTGTCCCTCCCTTATTATATTTTCATTCTGATCTCTTCTTTGGGCATTCTGTAGTTTACTCTTCATTTCTGAGATGTCTTGCTTGTGTTTAATCATCACTTCTTTCTTATCCATTAGGCATCTAGGTATTATTTTTGTCCATTTCTATTCCAAATTATTGCTTTTTTTTTGGCTGCGTCAGCATGCTGGATCTTAGTTCCCCGACCAGGGATCGAACCCGTGTCCCCTGCAGTGGAAGTGCAGAGTCTTAACCACTAGACAGCCAGGGAAGTCCCTCCAAATTATTGCATTTCTGATTCAAAAGGTGTCTTTTCCCCATGTCTGCAAATCCTTGTTTAATTGATATTTAATTCATTTCAGGTGTTGTCAAACATGTTGCCTCTGCTTCATGGCAGTTTTTCTGGGGGTAGTATTTTCACCACCTGAACAGTTTGGATGATACTGCTTTTCTGTTTTCTTCTCATAACAATTTAAAATGGATATTTGCCATTTATCTATTCACGTTAAAATCCCTTTGATTGCCCTGCCCTCTCAATTTCAGGTGTTTCTACCTCAGGGTACTTAGGGGGCAGGGTATACTTACTAGGCTTCTTAACTCAGTACCACCCTCTTCTGTTGACATGGTGAGTGCAGTTGCTAAAGTTTACTTAGGAAGTAAAGCCTTTTATTTTGGGGTGGGGCTTTATGTGATGTCTGTTTTTGCAATACTCTCTTGTTTATATAGGTCCCTTAATTTCCAGTGCTTGCTTTTTTTCTTTTCCCTTGGCACGAAGCCTCTAGGGAACACCTCACCCTTCCAAGTAGCTCCCTCTCTGCTCAGAAACCTTGCCCTCTAGATCGGCCATTTCTGCTCTCACATGCTTCTAAGCCCCTTTCTTTTCCTTCCCCAGTTGCCGGTATTCTGATTCATCAGGTCTCAGACTTGTTCTTCGTATTTCCCCCTTTATGAACAGTCCCTTTTCCGGGACACCAGAGGAAACTAACTGCATACTCCAGTGTGGGCTCTGGAGCTGCCTCTGTTGGTTTAGAATATTTATTTCCCCACTTATATGAAAACTGAAGTCTGTGGTATTCTTTACTTAAGCTTTAGGCATGATTTATGGAGAGTTTTATCTGCTCTCCTTGTTGATCACTATAGTTTTTAGAGAATGGGTGGAGAGATATGTATTTAGGGGACAGCTATTACCTACAGCAAATCAGAAGTCCAAAAAATAATTACCTCATGGATGAAAAACAAGCAGCAATAAAATTAGGTTTAGTCTATAAGATTGTAAAAATAAAAACAAATCTTAAAATGCAAAGGTAATTTTAGATTTCTTGTAATTTTTTTTTGCTTAAAAATACATTTGAACGTAGAATAATGTACACTTCATAAAGAAATGTTTAATAAAACTAAATTTCTAATAAAAATTTCATTGTACATAGTTAAGTAGGTGAGCAAAACTAATGACATGTCTTGATTTTTGTGGTTCTTTGTAGCTTGTTGACTTTTGAGAAACTATTAAGAAGATGCTGGGATTTAACATGAAAACAGTAGACAAGAAAATCATCAATCACCTAAGGCTTATTATACAAGTATATGAAGCCTCTGACAAATCAAAGATTGCTTCTGCGTGTGAGACTGGATAGGATAATGAATAAAGAATTTCTGCCAACCAGAACTCAGCAGACATGGACATTTCCTCCAGCATCTTGAATATGGCTACGTTATGAATAAAACACATTTGAAACTTTTCACTTAAATCTCTTCTCTCCTTTGATATTTGGCAATTAACTTTTCTTTGTTGTAATCTTGTTTTGTACATTTACTTGTGGTCTAGTCTGGATTGTTAATTGTAATATATAGTATCTAATTATATTTATTAACTGTATTTTAAGCAGGATATTAATCAAAACTTGTTCTTAGTTGGAATATTTATATCTATAGTTAATGGCCTGTTTCTAGAATGAGTAGTTTTTTGGTTATACCCCCTTATGAATCTAGGTAGAGTTATATTCTGTAATTTGAATCTATCTTATCTATTTGATTAACTGAGAGTTTGAAAATCAGATATGAAATGCTGAAGGGTAGGAAAGTCATTAAGAATTCTTAAAAATGTGCAATAGACTATATTGTGTTTTAAATTTTCTTAGTATTTATAGTGTCTGCCAGTTTTCCTAGATGTAGGCCGATATCTAAGTTAATGGACTGTTTTTAAATATATAATCTCTAATTTTTTTCATTTAGAATACGAAACTGCTCATCTTCCAAGGTAGTTTTAGATTTATCCAAGATGTCCTCTGTAGGAACAGGTCAGAATCTGAACAGGCCAGAGTGGACACTCAGCGCCTGCTGTGGTCAATTGAAAAGGACTCCTGTGGGGCTTAGTTTTAGAGGGATCTTCAGGGTGGAAGGTGTGAAGTTACACTGGACCTTATAAAAGTAACACTTTGGAAGAAAATGGTTATCTTGAGTACTCATTCAAGGAAAAGATGAGAACAACTTCTAAACTGACAGCCATGGGTCTCAAATGTGTGCCAAGGCACTCTGGAGCTCAGCATGCCATGGAGTATTTCAAATTTTAAAGGGAAACTGACATTTGACACTAGTCAGGAAAGTACTTGAACTGTTATCTCCTACTAGTTTATAGTTTGAACACTGGCTCACTCTTCATTCCTTTTGATGACATATATATATATATATATACATATGTATATATAACATTTTTATTGGAGTATAATTGCTTTACAATGTTGTGTTAGCTTCTGCTGTATAACAAAGTGAATCAGCTATAAATATACATATATACCCATATCCCCTCCCTCTTGCATCTCCCACCCACCCTCTCTATCCCACCTCTCTAGGTGGTCACAAAGCACCAAGCTGATCTCCCTGTGCTATGCGGCTGCTTCCCACTAGCTATCTATTTTACATTTGGTAGTGTAGATATGTCCATGCCACTCTCTCACTTCATCCCAGCTTACCCTTCCCCCTCCCCATGTCCTCAAGTCCATTCTCTACGTCTGCATCTTTATTCCTGTCCTGCCCCTAGGTTCTTCATAACCTTTGTTTTTTTAGATTCCATATATATGTTAGCATATGGTATTTGCTTTTCTCTTTCTGACTTACTTCACTCTGTGTGACAGCCTCTAGGTCCATCCACCTCACTACAAGTAACTCAATTTCATTTCTTTTTAGATGACATATTTTTAATGAAAACTGCCCAGGGCTTCTTAGGACTTTTGAATTTGTTGCCAAGGGGGGCCCAGCAGTTGGTGGTATCACTACCAAGTAAGTTGACTCCAGGATCCCTGGATGCAATGTAAGAAGTTCACTTACCTTTCTTCTGAAGAATATCCTTGAGGAAATGAAGGGACACCCTGTCCAGAGCCTCCACCTGCAACCCAACCTCTAAGAAAACCACCTTCTTGTTCAGGATTCCCCAGGGTCATGGCCCAAGGGTCAGCTGCCTGCTGCAGCCTCAGCACAAAGAGCTGGAAGGACTGCACAACTCAACGAGCCAGGCTAGCTGTTTCCCCACTTCTCCAACTCCTTCTTTTTGAGGAATTGCAAGTACTGTCAGCTCTTGGGGTCAAGTTCTCCATGAAGGTGAACGTGCCAAGATGCGGAAGTGTCTCAAGGAGCCACTTCATAAGCATGTTAAAGAAAAATCTTCTGCAAGTACAGAGTCCTTAGTCTTAATGCTCCTTTATGAATTGTATTAGTAGAAACTGATTGTTCAACGAGTTAACTGTAGAAGATTAGCTATGTTAACTCTGAGCAGACAAGGGAGAGGAACCCTTCCACTACCTGGAACAAATCTTTTCTAGAACTGCTTTTATCTTGTGGCCAAATCGCTGCCACTCTGTTCTTCAATGATGAGACATGAATTTAGATTTAAAGATTTAGACAAATAGCTCTCAACCTTCAAGATGCAACAGAATCACCTAATTAAAAAATCATTTCTTTTTCTGGGCTTATCCAGAGATTCCAGTTCAGTGAGTGTGGTGTGAGGGTAAAGTATGGACATTTTTTTTCAAAGCTCTCAAAGTGTATGAATTGATAAAATTACTTTGGAAAAGTTTGGCAGTGTTATCAGTTTCCTGCTGCTGTAACAAATTATCACAAACTTTGTGGCTGAAACAAATATTTATTATCCTGCATTTCTGGAGGTCTCAGAGCTAAGTTCCTTCTGGGGAGGGGAGAATCCATTTCCTTGTCTTTTCCATCTTCTAGAAGATGCCCACTTTCTTGGCACATTGCCTCCTTCTTCCACTTTCAAAGCCAGGGTCATGAAGTCTGCCCAGTCTTTTTCGTACGACTATTTCTTTTATTCTCCTCCTCCTGCCTCCCTCCTCTTTTAAGGATCGTTGTGATTACATTAGGCCCACTTGGACAATCCAGAATAATCTCCCTATTTTAAGGTCAGCTGATTAGCAACCTTAATTCTCTTTTGCCATGTAGCCCAATATACTCACAGGGTCCGGAGAGTAGGACAAGCACACTTTTAGGGAGCCATTATTCTAGAAACCTCCCACAGTTTGTATCTAAAATTGAACACAGGCATGCCTTATGAACCAGCAGCTCCACTCCTACATATATAGGTAACAGAAATATGTATGTATATTCTACAAAAAGACATTTACAAAATTATTCATGGCAGCATTGTTCATAATTGCCCCAAACTGGAAACTAGCCAAATGACCAAAAGTAAACATGACAACCAGATCCACTAGTTTAAGCATTTAGATCTCCTTCAGGTGTGGGACAGGGACAGGTCAACCGGAATGCTGAATTTTCTAAGGGGCCATACAAGAAACTGACCCTAGGTCCAAGACTGGGGAGACGACATATGGAGGACAGCAAGAGTTTGAGGAGAAATGGTAAATTTATGGAGCTCCATTTAGCATGTGTTCCACTCAGCACGGTGGAAAATAGCAATGGCGTGCAAGAAGACTTTAGTTCTTGTTGAACATCTGTCTCTAACCTGCCATGTAACCCTTGATCAAGTCCTGGGCTGAACTCGAATTTTCTTAGAGGAAATAAGTTTTGGGTTTCTGAGTTCGACTCTAGATTCCAGGCATCCCCAACTATCCTGGCAGAAACATCTTCGCGTCAGATTAATGCGGCTTGCTGCCACACAAGTACAGGAGCCAGCAGGCAGCCACCAGGTACTTTCTTGCCCGACGACTCTTTCCTCAGGGGCAAGGCGCCTGTGTGCAGGTCTGACAAGGTGGGAACAACCCCTCCTCCCCAGTCTACCAGACTCGGAACTTCCAACTACAGAAGTCTCCTTCCGCGAAACAAAGGCTATTAGGGACCCTTCCCTACTCTGAACCTTTGCCTGAGCTCCAACACACCCTAGCGACAAGTGCGGCTGCAGAGGCGAACTCCACCTTCCTGTGCAGCACTCCTACTCAAGCTTCCACTGAGGACTTAGCCAAACTGGAGGAGCCACTCCCTGCAAGGACGCGCGGAACCATCCGTTCCTCTTCCTTACAGCCGTTCGCAAGTTTGCGCCTGCGCTCCGCTAAGCCAGGTTGCGCCTGCGCAGCCCACTGAGGCGGGAACGTGGGTAACCCTTGGCTGTAGGGCGAGTGCCGTGTGACACTGCGGACGGATGAGGGCGAAGGAGATGCGGAGGAACTGGTGGTGACTGGCTGACGGAAATGATTGGCTGGTGGAAAAAGCCGTTCCAGATCTCGCCTTCGTGTGGGCGGGGAACCAGCTGAAGAGGGAATCAGCCCTTCGGTGGCGGGGCAGGGGGCGGAGCCGAGGGGAGGTCTCGCGGGAGACCATTTTGGCGGGCGCGGGAGGCGGGCGCGGGCGGAGGGCGCAGGACCTGTGCTGGAGCGTTCTGGCCCGTGTCCCGCGTGGGGAGCTTGGCGGGCGTCGGGCTGGCCGGCAGTGGGTAGAGCTGCAGAGTGTGGGGCGGCGTCCGGCGTTGTTGCTCCCCGGCTCCGTCAGACTGGTGTCAGGGCCCCCACCCCGAAACTGAATCGGAGCGACTGGGTGATGCCCCTGACAGTTTTGAAAGCCTTCTCAGGCGAATCTGATGCTCGGCCAAGGTTGAAGCCCAGCCCGCGTGGTTCCCTCAGCGTACGGGGTAACCCCAGGTTGGCCAGTGCGGGGAGGGTCGTCAGCTTTGCGAGTCTAGGCTTTGTCCGATCCCCCACTCACATCTGGGGTTAGATGCCAAGTGACCAGCGAGGGCGGACACTCCTCGTAGACGTCCACTCTGGAGAAGTGAGATTGGGCGTTTGCTTGGGGAGCGGGACTGCAGGACTGGGGAGCAATCCTCTGGTCCTGCAAGTTGAGTCCGTTGAGTGCTGTCTGTGCTCGAGGAACTTGGCTGGTTCTTAGGCACTCAGCTTACAGTTATCCCGATGCAGTTCTCTAATTTATCTGTTACTCAAGTAGCACTAAATATCTGGGTTTCTTTTACAGACCATTTCTTAGGATGGTGTAAGTCAATGGCAGAGCTCATCTATTGAACTTTATTCATTTTCCGTTTTGGGGTTTTGGTAGATGGCTTTTACCTTATTCTTAAATTCTGATGGTATCTTACGGGAGCCACATATATGGAATTAGAGAATCTCTAATTTCTTATTAACAGTTTTCTTGAGATGTAATTTACATACCATGAAATTAACCTGTTTTGAGTGTACAATTCAATGATTTTTAACATATTTAAAGAGCTCTGCAACCATCACCATAATGGAATTAGGCGATTTTTTTTTTTTCCTGATAATTGCCTTTACAAGTCTCAAAAGTTTGTCTAGGTGGGCATTTTGGAAATACAACCTAAGAGCCTCTGAAAATCTACGCTCAAGTCGTGTTATACCTGAGCAGGTGAAATTAAGAGAAGAATTGAAGCAAATGTTCCTAGAAGTTGCAGGTAGTGAAACTTTTGTGTATTGTCCAAGTAGATAGTGACCATTCCAAATGTCTTTGTTTTCTGAAGAATATGGCATAAACCCCATTTTACAGATGAAAAAAGACTTTGAAGGATAAGTTGCTTAAAGCTCCATATTAGTGCCTAGGCTAGGCCCGAACCTTGGATGCTTTATCTGCCTTTGCCACCTCATCGGCCTGGTTTCCAATTATATTATCTATGTATGACCTGTACAATTCATTCATTTATTGAACAAATAATTATATAGAGTGGCCACTATGCCAACAACAACCAAAAACACTGCTCTAAGTGCTGGAGATACCATAGAGAACCAGCTAAGTTTCTACCTTCAGCTAATATTCTGATGAGGAGACAATGATCCACTGAAAAAATATATACTCTAATTTTACATATTGAGACATGCTTTTGTTGTTGTTATTTTGGCCACACCATGCGTCTTGCAGGATCTTAGTTCCCGGACCAGGGATTGAACCTGGGCCCTTTGCAGTGGAAATGCGAATCCCTAACCACCGGCCTGCCAGGGAATTCCCAAGACATGCTATTTAAAAAAAAAATAGGTAAATTAAGAGTGTAGGGAATGGTGATGGGAGGCAGGATCTGATTTGAGCAGAAATCTGAAAGAAGAGAGGAAGTTGGGGCATAAGAAAAAGAAACCAAGGATTTGGCTTGAGCAACTGAAAAGATGGAGTTGCCATTTACTGAGTTGAAATATATTAGGTGACACTGTGGAAGGACCAGGTTTTAGGGTTAAGATGATAAATTCAGCTTTAGATATATTTAGATGCCTCTTAGTCATCAAGTGGAGATGTGGTATTTAAATCCATGAGATTGGATGTGATCTGACCAAGGGAATGAGTGTAGGTAGAGAGAGGACTGAGAACTGATCCCTATGACACTTCAATGTCTAGAATTCAAGGAGATGAGGAGGAACCAGGAAGGAAGATCGAAAAGACGAGTCCATTGTGTTAGGAGGAAAACAGGTGAGGATTCAGCCTTAGAAGACAAGTGAAGAAAGTGTTTTGTAGAAGAAAGGGTAATTAACTATGTCACATGTTACATATTTATCAAATAAAATGAAGACCAAGAATGGCCCATTTGTAAGAGATAAGTAAAATCTTTTGATGTAAATGTTCACACTAGCAGTAACTACAGAAACTTTCTTCCATTTTGAGGAGGTGTACATTTTTACAACCTTTTTGAAGGGCAGTTTGATATTATCTAAAATTTAAATATGTGTTTACTTTGACCAAATAATTTCACTTCTAGGAGTTCATCCTACAGAAATATTTATACATGTACACAAAGATATATATATAAAGGTGTTTATCACAGCATTATTTACAATTGTAAAAAAAAAAGGATACAGATTTCCATCAAGATGGATGTAGTTTTAAAGGAAATATTGAAATGTATAGATATGAAAGATAGCTGCTATAGACTGAATTTTTTTATTTTTATTTTTATTGGAGTATAGTTGATTTACAATGTTGTGTTAGTTCCAGGTGTACAGCAAAGTGAATCAGCTATACGTATACATACATCCACTCTTATTTAGATTCTTTTCCCATATAGGCCATTACAGAGTATTGAGTAGAGTTTCCTGTGCTATACAGTAGGTTCTTATTAGTTATCTATTTTATATATAGTAGTATGTATATTAGACTGAATTTTGTCTGCCCCAAGTTCATATATTGAAGCCCTAACTAACCCTCGATGTGATGTTATTTGAAGGTGAACCTTTGGGAGATAATTAGGTTTAGATGATGTCATGAGAGTGGGGCCCTATGTTGGGATTATTGTTCTTACAGGAAGAAGAAAAGAGATCTGAGTGAAGACACTGCAAGCAAAGAAGTGGGGGCTTACTAGGAACTGAATTGACTGGTACCTTGATCTTGGACTTCCCAGTCTCCAGAACTGTGAGAAATAAATGTTTGTTGTTTAAGTCATCCAATCTATGGTATTTTGTTAGCAGCCCTCACCTTGTTAGATGATAAAGTCAGGTTTTCTAATAGAATGTATAGTATGATCTGTTATCTTAATATATCCATAGGAGGACTGTCTAATCACACTATCAAGAGTTACTTCCTCATTTCCCTTCCCTGATCACGGTTACATTATTCTTTTCTATCTGCAGCACTTATGACTATCTAAAAGTATTTTATTAATTTTTATACTTATTTACTGTCCTTCTTGTCATAGGAGGTAAGTTCTATAAGGTTTTTGCCTCTGTCTCTTTTCTTTGTATCCCCAGTGCAGGAGTATATAATTTTTAGATACATTGTTTTACGTGAAAAACCCAAACAGACAGTATTCCTGTAGTGGTTTTAAAATGAGACCATAAATTCTTTGATACTCTTTCCTTCAAAGCGTGGTGGCTAATTCCCCTCCTTTTGAGTGTGGGCTGGATTTAGTAACTAGCTTCTAATGAGTAGAATATGGCAGCAGTGGAGGCATGTCTGTAGGTCATAAAAGGCATCATGACTTCCTCCTTGCTCCCTCTCTTGGATCATTCATTCTGGTAAACCAGCTGCCCTATCCTGAGGACATATCAAACAGTGCTTTGGAGAGGCCCTTGTGGCAAGAAACTGAGGCGTGCTCCCAATAGCCAGGGAAGAACTGAAACATCCTGCCAACAGTCATGTGAATGAGCTACCTTAGAAGCATTTTTTTCCAGCCCCAGTCATACCTTCGGATGTTTGCATCTCCACGTGACAACTTGACGGCAATGTCACAGGAGACCCTGAACCAGATCACTCAAGTAAGCCACTCTCAAAATCTTGTTAGATAATACATTTTTGTTGTTTTAAGGCACTGTGTTTTGGGGGTAGTATCGTTATCACCAATAACTAATAACAATTTTTGGTAAATATTATATTCTATTGTTTTAGTTAATACTTATTAGTTCCGTTCCTGAGAAAGTCAATTTCTCCCTGCCTTAGTTTTATCATATATAAAAGAAAATATAAATAGTTGGACAGTCCTTCTCTATCATCACATTAGAATTATCTGGGCAGCTTTTACAATATATATGCCTAGTCTCCATCCTAGATCAGTTAAGATCAATCAGAACTCATGGTAGGGCCCAGGCATACGTATTTTTTAAACTCCTCTTTGAGATTCTCATATGTCATCTGGGTTGAGAACTTCTAGGTGATCTCTGAGCTTTCTCCTATTGATTCTGTTATGACTAATACATAATTGGGATATACTTTCACTGCTGTAAGAGCATTTCCCTGGAATTAGAGTCCCAATTTTTGAGATATCTAATCTTTGTTTTAGGAATAGACAATGGAATTATTATTTATGCTTCTTCCCTGAAGGGGTAAGTATGTATTGAAGAACAAAAATTTGGGCTATTTTAAGAATTTCACAGAAGAATTACCCAAAATTTGATTTTCACATTTTGGAATTTTTGCTTTTGGTGAAGCATTTTCTTTTTCTTTCTTTCTTTTTTTTTTTTTTTTAACATCTTTATTGTAGTATAATTGCTTTACAATGTTGTGTTAGTTTCTGCTGTATAACAAAGTGAATCAACTATACATATACATATATCCCCATATCCCCTCCCTCTTGCGTCTCCCTCCCACCCTCCCTATCCCACCCTTCTAGGTAGTCACAAAGCACCAAGCTGATCTCCCTGTGCTATGCGGCTGCTTCCCACTAGCTATCTGTTTTACATTTGGTAGTGTATATATGTCAGTGCCACTCTCTCGCTTCATCCCAGCTTACCCTTCCCCCTCCACGTGTCCTCAAATCCATTCTCTACGCCTGCATGGTGAAGCATTTTCTTAATGCTTTTCTAGTGCTTGATGAAATCCCCTTTGTGTTTTCATTTTATTAATCAGGAAAGTAAAGAGTTACACTACTGTTTTTCCATTTTTACTTCAGGGTGCCAAATAATTTTCATTTTACTTTTATAAAGTTTGTTTGGGAGAAGAGTACTATCATCATCTATAAGAATGACAAGCGATTGTAAAATTCATATGCAAATGCAAAGGACCTAGAATAGCCAAACACTGTTGAAATTCTTTGAAAAAGAGTAGCAAAGTTGAAGGGTTAACACTATCTGATTTCAAGATTTATTAAAAAAAAAGATTTATTTAAAGCTACAGTAATCAGTACAGTGTGATATTAGTGTAAAGATAAATGTAAAGATAAATAAAAAGATAAATGGGATGAATAGAAAGTTCAGAGAGAACCACACATATAAGGACATCTGTTGTGTTGTTATTTTAAATAAAGATAGAGGGACAATCTAGTGATGAAAGGGGAGTCTTTTCAACAAATGATTCTGAAACAATTGGATCCATATGCCAAAAAGAAAAAAAAGAAAGAGAGCAAGCAAAAACTTTGATTCATGTCTTGTGCCATATACAAAAATGAACTAAAAATGAATCATAGACCTAAATATAAGAGCTAATATTGGGGGCATACAATTATATCTGAATCCAGGTATGGGTTCAGATATAATTGACATTCATGTTTGCAAGAGTGAATGGAGGAGAGCTGGTGTATTAGTTCCTACTGCTGCTCTAACAGATTACCACAGGGACTTCCCTGGTGGTCCAGTGTGTAGGACTCCACACTCCCAAAGCAGGGGCCCTGGGTTTGATTCCTGGTTGGGGAACTAGATCCCGCATGCATGCCGCAACTAAGAGTTCACATACTGTAGCTAAAAGTCCACATGCCGCAACTAAGAAACCTGTGTGCCGCAACTAAGACACCTGCTTGCCACAACTAAGAGTCCACATGCCACAACTAAGAGATCCCACATGCGACAACGAAGCTCCCATATGCCGCAACTAAGACCCGGCAAAGCCTAAATAAATAAATAAATTGCCACAAACCCAGTGCTTAAAACAACACACATGTATTATATTACAGTTATGTAGGTTAGAAGTCCTACACAGGTCCAGCAAACTAAAATCAAGGTGGTGGCAGAGGTGCATTCCTTCTGGAGGTTCTAGGGGATAATGTGTTTGCCTTTTCCAGCTTCTACGTGATGCCATGGTATCTTCTTGTCCTTTCATATTCACATAGGGCCTGGTTTCTTTTTACTCTGACTTTTCTCTTTCTTTTCACTCTGGAATGGTCTCTTCACTCTGCCTTTTCTCTTTCAACCAAATGTACCCTGTGTCAGTAGACTAAAAGAATTCAAAGAATTTTCAAATGTCAATTAAAATAATAAAAAGAAACATATCCTTGTATATATATAATATTAAATATTCTCTTTCTCATCAAACTTTCCTCCATGTATCTATTTCCTAACTCCATCATTACTTCTGTATTACTGGCATTCTGCCGCAAGGAAGAGCTTTCTCCTTTCTGAATTCAACTTTAGAAATTGTCTCTTGAATTCCACCTACGGTGGAAGATTTAGATAACTGGCACTAGTTCTTCATTGCCTTTCTCTCATCTTCACAGTAGAATTATATTATTTTTAGTTCTTCCATAGGTTATCTTTGTGATTTAAATTAATATACTGACACTTTTATTTCTTGTTGTTTCAACTCTTTATGATACCTCTTGATCTTTAATTTAGTAAAGTGAAGATTTTTGTTGTCCTTGCTCTTTCCTTTCATTCTCTTTCCCTGTTCTATTTCCTGACTTCTCTCACTTAAACTTTTACTTTTACACCATTGAGGTTGTTATTTACATGATGTCTTGTAACCATTATTAAGTCACTGTGAGATTATCTAGTTTCCCATCAATTTTTCACTTAATGGCTTTAGAGCTCATTGATGAGCCTTACCTGAATTAGTTATTTCACTAGGAATGACAAAATATTGATATTTTAAAATATAGTATTTTTGCTATACAGTACGTCCTTATTATCTATTTTATATAGTAGTAGTATATGAATATAGTAGTGTGTATATAGTAGTGTGTATATGTATATAGTAGTGTGTATATAGTAGTGTGTATATGTCAATCCCAGTCTCCCAATTTATCCCTCACCCCCACCTTACCCCCTGGTAACCATAAGTTTGTAATGACCTATATGGGGAAAGAATCTAAAAAAAGAGTTGATATATGTGTATGTATAATTGACTCACTTTGCTGTGCAGCAGAAACTAACACAACACTGTTAATCAACTATACTCCAATAAAATTTTTAAAAAAATTATAGTATTTGTTCTGCATTTATTAGCTGCCTGTTATTAGACTCTGTTATTCTAACCATCTTAATTGTTGTAAAGTACAGCTTCAGTGTTTTCACTCATGCTTTTAATACTTTCCCATTGACTCAGAAATTAAATTCCAATGCTTCTGTGTTATATCTAGGCCTTTTCTATTATATTTTCCACCCTTATTTATCTCCCTTACTCCTCTAGATACTATGATCCTGGAAAGAGTTCTTGTGTTCCTCAAAATTTCCCCCCTTCCCCTTGCTTCTCCATCTTTGTTCTTGCTTTTCCCTCTACCTAGATTACACTCACTCCTGTGGAATTTTTTTTTTTTTTTTTTTTTTTTTTTTGCGGTACACGGGCCTCTCACCACTGTGGCCTCTCCTGTTGCGGAGCACAGGCTCCGGACGCGCAGGCCCAGCGGCCATGGCTCACGACTCAGCCGCTCTGCGGCACGTGGGATCTGCCCGGACCAAGGCACGAACCCGTGTCCCCTGCATCAGCGGGCGGACTCTCAACCACTGCGCCACCAGGGAAGCCCTCCTATGGAAATTTTATCCAAAGTCTTTACAGTAGCCTCAGACTGGCCTACAAGGTCTTACCACAGTAGAGTTCCTATCACCTTGGACCTTATTCCTCTCTGCTTTCTCTCTCTCTCGTTCTAGTTGCACTGGTCCTCAAACACACCATTCTCACTTCCACATCAAGCCTTCGCATTTACTCTTCCTACTTCCTATAGCTCTCCCTCCTGATATCTGCAGAGCTCACTCTGTCATCAGCTCTTTCATGTATTTGCTCCAATATCACCTTCTTGGTGAGGCCTTCCCTGACCACTCACTTTGAAATTGCAACACCTCCCTCACCCTTCCTACACTGTCCCCCTTCCCTATTTTATCTTTCTCCATAGTACTTATCTCTGTCGAATATATATAAGTTATTGGTTTAACTTATTTTCTCTTCCACCCTTACTCCCTGCTGGGTATAAGTTCTTTGAGGACAGAGATTTTTATCTATTTTGTTTACTGCTGAATACTTACCATGTTTGAAATTTAGCAGAATTCAATAAATATGTCTAAAATACTTAAATTTATGGAATGAATGAATGACCAAACCTGCAATGTGGTGAATTTTTTGGTTGTTGAATGAATGAATCCACTTCTCAAGAACCATCTCAAATACCATCTCTTTTTGGAAATTTATTTTTGTTCCTTGGGTCATCTCTATTCTAGATGATCTCTTTATTCTCCAGTTCATATAGAAAATGTTTATACTTTGTTATGGCACTTATATTTTGTCTTATTATTGTACTTATTAACATAGTGAGTAGATACTATCTAATTTATTTCTGTCCTCAGGAATATGTAGCACTACCTTATGTATACAGAGCACACCAAATAAATATATGTGAAATTAAAATACAAGTATAACGATAAATTCTTTTGCTTTGTTCGTTTTTATTCTTTGGACATTTCCTCTCATACCCTGTTCTTGCTTTAGAGGACTTTTATTCCCCTCTCATTTATTCACTTAATACAGACCTGAAAAACCCTTTTGCTTCCTTGGCACACTTTTGCTAAGCTACATGACTTTCATCAAACTCTGGTTCAGAGCATTATGTCAGGATTTAGAAGTCTTAGTCAGGATTAGTATTCTAATCCTCAACTCTATCATGAACTGTGATTGTGATCCTGAACTTGTATTTTTTTTTCATCTGTAGCACAGAAATACAAAATCTTAGAAGTGGATGCAATATTAAAGTTCATATACCAAGTTTTCAGTCAACATTCTTTACAGGTATTTATCTATGTCTATTTCAATATTTCCAGTGACAAGGACTTACTGCCCACCCCCTCCAAAAGCCATTACATTTTCAGACAGCCCTAATTTTAAGAAAATTCTTATTTTTTTAAGCTAAAACCTACTGTCTTCTAACTTTCATCTTTTTGATCTCCTTTAAAATTTTCCTTCTCTATACTCAGTTACTGAATTCTAGAAATGATTTCCCAGTACCATCATTTCAACCCCTGTTACCATTCTCATTTGATGACTCATAAGTCTTTCTTTCTATTTGGGGTTTTATGTCCTAAGGTTTCATACTATGACTGTATTTATATTTCAAAAGGAGGGAAATAGATGTCTTCATATTAAATTCGAAATGGGAGTTTAACATGTATGTCAGTATATTTAGGATAAAGATGAAGCTGTCCTGGCCAAGAACTTTGAAAGATACAACATTTTTCACTTTGAAGGACCAAAAGACAGGCAGAAAATTTGGGATAAATGTTGAAAAGATTTGATCCATAAGGAAAAACAGACATACCTCTGTGTTCATTCCACTGGAAAACTAAAACTGTGATTCCACTATCAGAAATTCCTTAGTCAGTTGTTTACTCTTCCCAGCAACAGTGTTGTCCCCATACCAGCCATGGAGGAAGCTGTGAAAGAGAGGATTCAGGAAATTGGTGCAAATGAGCCATCTTGGAAGTCTGTAAGTATATTGACAGATAGATGAGTTAGTCTTTCAAATTTGTTTCTTTTTAAAAATCTAGATTTTGATATTAGCTGATTTGGTAAACTCTGTGGTTCTGAATATTAATTTTGATTTTGTCACTATAAACATAACTGATAACTATCAGGAAGTGTTTTTTTCTTTTGCTATAGAGAAAGGAAGATCTTCATAGGAAATTCAGATGCTCACTCAGCAAATAGAGCAGCTGCCCATCTTTATGAATAAAGTGTTTATGAATCATCCCAGGCTGAAAAAAGTATAGGGAACAATAAAGACCCTTGATATATCTGAATGGAAAAATTGCTTTCCATGAGTTTTTTTCAAGAAAGATTTGCCTTAGATTAAAAAAAGACTTTCCTGAATGATAGATGTTAATTTGGGCAAAGAAAATGATCATATATTATTGTAATATTCCTAACTTTAATTTTGTTTATTGTAGAAAACTGATAAAACTGTTTATATTTCACCTATGATTGAAAAAAGTGAAGAAAAACAGTTATAAATCCTTAAAGTGATGCTTCTATCTTTACCAAAAAGCCTTCCCTTTTTCATATCTTGTACTTTTTCATTCTGTACATATTTGGTATTTGTTGTGAGAGCATTTATATATAATTGTTAATGTACTTATAGGAAGACTCTAGGAAAAGGAACTCAAAAGAATGACTCTCTAATAGTGGAAGTTCAGGCACTGTGGTACCTAGATATGGTGGGTATTGGGTGGGGGGTCTTTGATGATATCCCTTAATAATGACCATGTAGATCATTGTTTTTCTACTTTTTCTTTCCTTGCATCTGTAAAGACAAGGTCATTGTTCAAACAGGATAGGAAGTAGGATGTGCTATCATTTGTTTTTAGGAGATCGTGATACTGTTTCACTACCTCCTTAGAAAACCACATGTCTTACCCAAACCTATGTTATACTGTTTTGACAATTGCTATGCAGTGTCATTTCACATTCACTCACTAATTTGCTGTCTATATTATCTATTAGTACATAACAGATGACCCTAAAACTCAGCAGCTTAGAATAAGAAACATTTATGATCTCATGCAGTTTCTAAGGTTGGGAATTCAGGAGTAGCTTAGTTGGGCTGGATGGTTCTGGCTGAGGATTTCTTGTGAGGTTGCAGTTAATAAGTTGGCTGGGGAGGCAATCATCTGGATGCCTGAGTGGGCTGCCCCTAGACCTCTCCATAGGGCTGTTCACACCATGGCAGCTAGCTTTCTTTAGATCAAGCAACCATACTCGTTTGTTTTGCTCCTCACTGGCCGATTTATTCATTCATTTGATATTTATTGAGTCACCAGTTTTTAAACATTTACAGCACTTTCCTTGTGAAAGACAAGGATGTCCACTTTTGCCACTTCTATTCAACATAGTACTGGAAGTTCTAGCCAGAGCAGTTAGGCAAGGAAAAGAAATTTTAAGAAGAAATAAAAAGCATCCAAATCTGAAAGGAAGACGTAAAATCATCTTTGTTTACATATGGCATGATCTTTTTTGTAGAAAGCCCTTAAGATTTCTCCCCCAAACCTGTTAGAACCAATGAATGAATTCACTTAAGTAGTAGGCTACAAAGTTAGCGTGAAAAAATTAGTTGCCTTCCTGTACACTAACTGTGCAGTCTGAAAGGAAACAATTACATGAAATTATGAAAACAATTACATTTACAATAGCATTAAAAAAATAAAGTACTGGGACTTCCCTGCTGGTACAGTGGTTAAGAATCCGCCTGCTAATGTAGGGGACACAGGTTCGAGCCCTGGGCCAGGAAGATCTCACATGCCGCGCAGCAACTAAGCCCGTGTGCCACAACTACTGAGCCTGCGCTCTAGAGCTCACGAGCGACAGCTACTGAGCTCGCGAGCCACAACTACTGAAGCCCACATGCCTAGGCCTGTGCTCCGCAACAAGAGAAGGCACCGCAGTGAGAATCCCCCACACTGCAATGAAGAGTAGCTCCCGCTCGCCTCAACTAGGGAAAGCCCACATGCAGCAACAAAGACCCAACACAGCCAAAAATAAATAAATTTATTTAAAAAATAAAAATTAAAAAATACTTAGGAGTTAACCAAAGATTAACTTATACAATTATAAGTTATATAATTAATTTATACAATGAAAACCACAAAACATTGCTGAAAGAAATTAGAGAAGACACAAATAAATGGAAATACAAACCAAGTTCATGGATTGGAAGACTTAATATTGTTAAGATATCAATACTTCCCAAAGTGACCCACAGACTAAATATAATCCCTATGAAAATCCAAATGCCATTTTTTGGCAGAAAGAGAAAAACAGTTCCTAAAATTCATATGGAATCTCAAGGGCCTCTGAATAGCTAAAGCAATCTTGAAAAATAACAGAGCTGAAGGACTCACACTTGTTGATTTCAAAACTTAGCAAAGCTACAGTAATCAGAACAGTGTGGTACTGACATAAAGGTAGACATAGACCCATTAAGCCGAATAGAGAACCCAGAAGTAAACCCTCACATGTATGGTCAAATGATTTTTGACAAGAGTGACAAGACCATTCCATGGGGAAAGAACCATCTTCTCAAGAAATGGTGCTGGGAAAACTGGATATCTGCATGTAAAAGAATGAAGTTGGACCCTTACCTAACACTGTGTACAAAAATTAACTGAAAATGGATCAAAGACGTAAATATATGACCTAAAGCTATAAAATTCTTGGTGCAGAAGTTTGAATTAAACTCCTTAGTTCGTGTCTCATCATTTGAGCCTCAAAAGGTATATCTCTTGTTTCATTTGTTTACTCTTTTTTGCTTTATTCCCTGCACCCATAATCAGTTGAAAGTATTTAATGACTAACCTTTTATTTATGTGTTCTTTTAAAACAGCTCCATTCAGTTTTAATTTACATGTCATAATATTCACTCATTTGAAAATATATAATTCAATGATTTTTAGCAAATTTATGGAGCTGTGCAAACACCACCACAATCTAGTTTTAGAACATTTCCATCACCCCCAAAGGATCCCTTTTGCCCATATGCAGTCAGTGCCCCTCCTATTACTAGTGCCAGGCAATCACTAATCTGCTTTCTGTCTATAGATTTGCCTTTTCTGGACATTTTATAGAAATAAATGACTGCAATACGTAGACCTTTGCATTTGGTTTCTTTTATTCAGGGTTGTTTCTGAAGTTCACCCATGTTGTAGCATGTATCAATATTTTGGGCTTTTTGGGGCTTCCCTGGTGGCACAGTGGTTGAGAGTCCGCCTGCCGATGTAGGGGACATGGGTTCGTGCCCCGGTCCGGGAAGATCCCACATGGCGTGGAGCGGCTGGGCCCGTGAGCCATGGCCCCTGGGCCTGCACTTTCGGAGCCTGTGCTCCACAACGGGAGAGGCCACAACAGTGAGAGGCCTGCATACCGCAAAAAAAAAAAAAAATATATATATATATATATATATTTTGGGCTTTAAAAAATTACTTTATAGTAGCCCATTGTATGGATATACCACACTTTAAAAAATTAATAGACTATTTTTTTGAGCAGTTTTAGGTTTACAGAGAAAATTAGAGGTTCCTATATACTCCCACCATACACACACCAGTTTATTCTATTATTAACGTCTTGTTTTAGTGTGGTATATTTGTTACAATTGATGAGTCAATTTTGATACATTGTTACTAACTAAAGTTCTTTTTTTTGTTGTTGTTGTTGTTGTTTTTGTGGTACGCCAGGCCTCTCACTGTTGTGGCCTCTCCCATTGCGGAGCACAGGCTCCGGATGCACAGGCTCAGCGGCTATGGCTCACGGGCCTAGCCCCTCCGTGGCATGTGGGATCTTCCCGGGCCGGGGCACGAACCCGTGTCCCCTGCATTGGCAGGCGTACTCTCAACCACTGCGCCACCAGGGAAGCCCCTTTGTATTGTTCTGTCAGATATATAATGATATGTAGCCACCATTCCAGTATCATGCAGAATAGTCTTGCTGCCCTAAAAAAGTTCTGTGTTCCATCTATTAATTCCTCCCTTGCCCCCAAGCCTCTGGCAACCAGTGATCTTTTTACCATCTCCATGATATTGCCTTTTCCAGAATGTCGTATATTTGTTTTTGTTTTTGTGTTTTGCCACACTGTGCAGCATGTGAGATCTTAGTTCCCCCACCAGGGATTGAACTCGCACCCCCTGCAGTGGGAGCACAGAGTCTTAACTGCTGGACCGCCAAGGAAGTCCCAGAATGTCATATATTTGTTATCATATAGCATGTATCCTTTTCAGACTGTCTTCCTTCACTTAACAATACGCATTTAAGGTTACTCCATGTCTTTTTGTGGCTTGATGGCTCATTGCTTTTTTATCACTGAATAATATTCTATTGAATGGATATACCAATTTGGTTATTCATTCACCCATTGGTGAATCTTGGTTGCTTCCAATTTTTGGCAATTATGAATAAGCTACTGTAAACATTTGTGTGCAGGTTTTTGTGTGAACATAAATTTTCAAAGTATTTGGGTAAATGCCAAGGAGTGCTATTGCTCAATTATATAGTAAGAGTATTTTCAGTTTTCTAATAAACTGTCAAAATGTTTTCCAAATGCAAATGTACCATTTTGCATTCCCACTGGCAATGAATGAGAGCTCCTATTTCTCCACGTCCTCACCAGCCTTTGGTGTTCTCAGTGTTTCAGATTTCAGTCATTCTAATACTTGTGTAGTGGTATTTCATTATTTTAATTGCAATCCACTAAGGCTATATGATGTTTAGCATATTTGCATATGATGCTTTGCCATCTGTATATCTTCTTTGGTGACGTTCTGTTCAGAACCTTTGCCCATTTTTAAATTGGGTTGTTTGTTTTCTTATTGTTGAGTTTTAAGATTTCTTTGTATATTTTGGATGCCAATCTTTTATGAGATATGTATTTTGCAAAGATTATCTCCCAATTTGTGGCTTATCTTTTCATTTTCTCCCCAGTGTCTCTCACAGAGCAGAAGTTTGTTTAATTAATACTTTACTTTTTTAGAAGAGTTTAAGGTTCACAGCAAAACTCAGGGGAAGATAAAGAGATTTCCTACATATCACCTGCCCCACACATGCATAGCTTCTTCCATTATCAACATTCTCTATCAGATTGGTACATTTATTACAATTGATGGATCTACATTGACACATCATAATCATCCACAGTCCATAGTTTACATTATGGTTCACTCTTGTGTTTTACACAGAGCAGAAGTTTCTAATTTTAATGAAGTACAACTTATCAAGAAAATTTTTTTTAAATCTTTTGGCTGCACTGCATGGCATG